TAAGGATATATATATATATATATATATATATATATATAAAAACACCTGGAGCATATTCTCCAAGATTTTTTTTTTAGTTTTTTAACGATCTCCTCCCAAAAATTTTTTATTTAAAATTTTGGGATCCACCTTGGATTCACCATATTATTACTTTCTATCGGTGATTTAAAATTGGCAGTTTGGATCAAGAGTTGTTTATCCGGTTTAGGAATTGGTTTAGACCAACCTGATTTTTTGTCAAAACTAGGAATCAATCTATTTCGTATGAACTCATGGAGTTCCGTTAGGAAATTGGGCGAGTCTGTCAGGGAACTGAGCCATCCATACGGACCACAAACTTGCCACACAATATTTTTTTATGTTTTTTCTTTTTTCAAATTTTCTATATATATGGGCCGATTATCACATTGGAGAATTATCTAATTCGCCTACCCAAATCAACATTTCGTCGACTCAGACTGGTTTTCGGAACAACCATTCATCTGGCCAAACCAATTTTTTAAACAATGCTTTCAATGATAGAAAATTTGAGTTTTGAGTACCTAAAATCTTAGATATAAGTATATAACCATTCAATTTATGGTCTTTGTTAAATCTTAGGATGATATTTTATTGGGTGTGAATTTTTATTTATTTATTTATTTAATTTTTTTTTTGAGGTTTGTCTCTAGATTTATCATGAAAAGTTTATCATGGTTTTTGTAAAATTTGACGGTGGTAGCCTGCTTAACACAACCCACCTCCTCTACTCGTGCTTAAAATGTGTTACGGGAAAATTTAACGTCCTCACGTTTCTTGGACTCGGTTGGCCGTTTCTTGGACTAGGTTGGCCGGAAGATTACATTTCCAAAATTTAGTGGGGTTCTACTTGAGGGTTTTTTTTGGGGAGATAAAAGGGTAATAAGGTAATTTTCGTTGGAGTAGTGAGTTAACTCCATCTCTACGAAGTTGCTGTAAACAACTCATTCATCTTGTCCGTATAAATATTTGAGCGCATGCGGCTTTTAGAAAGAGAAAAGTGAAGACTGTGTTCTCAAAAGTTGGAATGGCAAAGCTTTTGCTCTTCCTTTTGGTGAACTTTCTCACTCTAGGCAGTGGGGGCTCTTTGTCTTATGATTTCTACAATACTTCTTGTCCGGATGTGGAAGATGTAGTGAGAGAAACATTGGCACCCATCTTTCTCACTCATCCTACTGCTCCTGCAGCTCTACTCAGGCTTATGTTTCATGATTGCCAAGTTCAGGTAGACCCATCTCTCTCTCTCTCTCTCTCTCTCTGTGTGCCTGTGTTGCATGTGTGTGTTAATGGCTAAAGTAAAGGAACAATGTTGATTTGCATAGTATCACCAGAGTTCAAATCTCTTCGTCGAGTTTGGAGAAAGAAATTTTCATGAAGTATAAAACAGTTATACCTACCATATTTAAATGGGTTGTTTCTCTGTCAAGTTTTTGAGTCTTTTTTGTTATCTTTTCTCTATATATAAAGGAAGAAATTTCTTTTGAGAAGGCAGATGCATCAAGCTACATAAATGCATAGTTTTGGAAAATGTTAGTTGAATCTAGGCATAAGGAAATATTTGAGCCATTTTATGTTTACCCAACTAGAATGCCATGATCTTCACTTTTTGTTTCATAACTATGGTTAGTGGCCAAAATATGTCAGTTAGATCACTATGGGTGAAACGGGGGCAAAAACCTTGCTGATTTGTTCCAATCTTGTAAAATCATAAAGTTCATCATTTTCAAAACAATCATGGCATTCTCCTTATTTTCATCAATGAATATTGTCTTGAATCTTGATTATGTGCATCTTCTAAGTTCTATGCACATGAATTGTATATGCACCAGAGTTTAGTATTACAAATGTCATTGCTCATGCGCGCATAGCACACTTTGCATGTTCCACACATTCTATGAACACAAGGTAAGAAAATACCCACATATTTATACCACTCAATCCTCACTCTTCTTCAATGTCGGACTAAAATCCACACCTTTCTCTCCCTCATGGCTACGTGAAACTTAGGTAAACTACAATAAAAGCTCATGTTATTTTGAAATACTTAGAAGTATTTCCCAAAATAAAAATACTAACAACATTTACATCATTAATTATGCATAGTATCTTTAAAGCATTGAAATTAGCCATAAAAATAGTATTATTAGAAGCAAGTAGTAATAGTATTGTTGTTCTTTCTCTATCAGTTGAAATGGATCCATATCCTTATAACTTTAGAATTACTCTAAGTCTCCCCAGGGCTGTGATGCATCAATCCTGTTAGACACTGATCACCCTAGAATAAGCTCAGAGATGATCTCTAGCAAGAACTTCGGAATCAAGCATCGTGAATCGATCGGGATCGTAAAAGAGGCGGTTGAGAGTGTCTGCCCTAACCAAGTGTCATGTGCTGATATTATCGTCCTAGCAGCAAGGGAGTCTGTCGCCGTCTCCGGTGGGCCCTATGTCGAGGTTGCACTAGGCAGACGGGACTCGACCATTACAGATGCCACACTTGCCGACACGTTTCTTCCTTCTGCGAATGTTGGCGTAGATGAAGCACTTAGGATCCTAACCGCTAAGGGGTTGAATCTCGAAGAGTCCGTCGCCATTTTAGGTAAATTCAAAAATTCAAAAATAACTAATAAAAAAGTAGTTAGACTTGTTCTAACATGCCATTCTCTTGTTATTTGAAAATTTCAATCATAAAAAACCAAAGCTAGGGTTTGAACGTTGGTTTTAATGATGTGAAATTTCATAAGTACTGATTTATGGTGTTTTGAGTTTTGACAATAAAGTTCCTAAAACTTGCAAACTGAAAAATGTAAAATTTGTTTTCATTTTAAGATGATTACATCACTGTAATGAAGTGAAATATTTCATAAGAAGTCTTCTTTTTTTGTCTTTTTTTTGTTCTTTTTGAGAATATCCTTCCCAAAGAGTCTTTTCAAAAGAATAGTGTTTGTCATAAATGAGCATCAAGGGAATTTGATCATATCCTCTGCTAGATGGAAGCATAAACTCAGAAGTGGCCCCTTCTTGCAGCTTGCAAGAACTTAGAAATCTCTCTCTCTCTCATTATAACAATTGTACAGTACAATTCAACATCTCTCAATGCTGAGCATGTGGAGCTCTTGCAGGTGCACACACTCTAGGAGCCACGCACTGTGTGAACATCATTAACAGATTGTACGGCCCGAAAGCAGACACCGGCATCATCTTAGATTTCAAAATGTTGCTCCAATTGAATTGCCCATTGGGGGTCACATTGGCTAGCAACGCAACCTTCGTGGCTAATGATCCGACGTCCTTAGCCTTCGATAACCAGTTCTATCAGCAGATTCTTACAGGGAAAGGGTTGCTAAGGGTCGACTCCGAGATGCAGCACAGCGCATTCACATCACCTCTCGTCGCACGATTCGCGGATCACCAAGATTACTTCTTTCGTGTTTTCTCCTCTGCATTTTTGAAGCTCTCATCTTATCAAGTCTTAACAGGAAACCATGGCCAAATTCGAAAGTGGTGTGATAGAGTAAATTGAGCGCTTGTTTCCTTAATTATTTTTTTCCGTTCTTTGAATTTTGGAAGTTGGTATGAGAAGATAATTCAGTAGAACCTAACTGTTTTCTGCTCTCCATGTAATGCACCCATATAATTTAGGGTATTTTTTCCCTAATTTAAGCAACCATAAATTTCATCTTTATACATTTTTTTGGTGTTTTACTAAGTTTAAACTTCTTTTCTTTGCTTCTCTTTCTTTTCCACAACCCGCTTAATCTCTAGTCGCCGAGAATTAGGGTTTGGGAGCCATCAAACATAAGCTTCTCCATTGTCAAATATGGAAATAAAGGAGAAACCATTAAATTTACAAAGAGGGTGTGAAGAATTAAGTGAGAAAATGAATATTTATTTTTCCATGTAGTTTAGTTGGGATTCAGGCCAAGAGCCAATGACTCTACTAGTCGAAGAAGTAGAGAGAGAAATGGAGAGACAAAGAAAGGGGTCATATTTTTGCCCCTCGTAGTAGAGGGGGATAGAGGGAAATGAAATAAATAGTACTTGGTCGAATATTGTGCTTACCTGTCTCGGTACTATAGGACTTGGGTATGCCTTCCCATGTGCCTCTCGGTACTATAGGACTTGGGTATGCCTTCCCATGTGCCCAAGGGGGTACCTATATTATGTGAACACGGACATGTGTGTATATTTATGACACGTATACGAGTATTCGAATCATGAACTCAAAAAGTAAAATCTAGACAAGATGCATCCATATAATATACAAGTATTTACATAGATACATACGTCTATATATACATCATCATTGGAGCATTTTTCAACTTATTTGGGGTCGACTACATGAAATCATAGTCTATCATTGTGCTCTATCAAGGGCCACACCGTCAATGAGGCCATAAGTCCCAATATTCTTTCTCAATACTTCTAACCATGTCCTTTTGGGCTTACCCCTTGTCATTTTTTAGCCTTCCACTTTTACTAATTTGCACATCCTAACATGTATTGTACTAGGTCTGCACTGCGCATGGCTAGTTTACCTAAATCTATTTTGTCTCATCTTATTGCCTATTCGAGTCATATGTAAGATCTCCTGAATGTATTCATTAATAATTATTTCTTTTTTTATCTTGCCACTCATCCATCTCAATATCCTTATCTCAGTTATACTCATCTTATGGGTATGTTGTTTCTTGATTCCCCAGCATTCCGTCCCATAAAATAAAAGCTGGTCTCACAACTGTCCTATAGAACTTCCCTTTTAGCTTTATTGGTATGTGGCGATTGCATAAAACTTTGGTTACACATCTCTATTTCACCCATCCAGCTCTCATTCTATGTGTGACATCGTCTTCAATCTTTTAAAGTTCCCAGATTATCGACCCAACATATTGTATATCTATGTATACATATATTAAAATATGTGTAGTTCACATATACATTTAATACATATAGCAATTCATGCCATACAATAATAGTAAAGCATCCAAAAAATAAATATAATTAATTGATAGTCCAAGTTGAGGCAAGAACAAGTTCAACATGTTATATAATAAAAGTACTACAAGCTTTAAATTCCACAAAATTCTAGCACAACTATTTCTATAACAAGAGTACTACAAAGTTTAAAGAATATCAAATATTAATACAAACTTTCAAAATTGGAAAAATTCAATTGTTACGGCAAGGCCATGTACAATAAAATTTATGCTATTAGTAGAAAAAAGATAGAAAATAAAGAAATTACATGACACATGGTACAACGAGAATGGAAGAAAAAAAAGTTGAAGAAGAGAGATGAATATCCAGTGGTCAACAACTTTGAGAGGGAGAAACCAGTGGTCCGCAGCTTGCAAAGGGAGAAATTAATTAGGGAGGGAGATACTCCAAAATGTTTCATGGTAGTTGAAATAAATTATATTTTTATCTATAGTAACAGTAATTTATGAAAACCCAATTTTAACAAATAAAAATACTTCTTATTTTTTATTCTAAACTACATATTTTATTCTAAAATAATTTTTTTAAAAAAATAAAATACTCTTCAATACAAAATGAAGTTTCTAAAAAAATGAATTACTTTTTAAAAACGGAACATGTCTAAAAAAAGGATATGGTCGTGGGCACTTAATAGAGGTGTCGTATGCATGTCCAAGAAAGTTGACACGTGTGCAGGTGCCAATCAATTGTCTACACATTTTCAGACCCCTGTATACGGTGTCTATGTTTCATACATGGAAACTTGCCTAGACTGAGTCCAAGTCAACTGAGACAAGTCCCTTATTATTGATCTATATATATTTTTTAGTGGATTTTGGGCATTTTGTAGGTTGCGCTTAAATGTCATAGACTCTGATCTTGCTCGGCTCTTTAATACGAAAATCCAAATTCTCTGCTTCTATTTGTTGAAAATTGATTATCTTTCTTCTAAAAGGACCCAAGTTTTTTATCTATTATGGCCAAGGACTCAGGTCTCTTCATTTGGTTATCTGATTTGAAATAGCAAACCCAAAAAATAAAGATTTTTCTTCTCAATAGATCTTCAAAAAATATTAATCTTAGAGCTAAAAAGATTGTAAATTGTGGAAATATAGAAACTTGCACTAATTTTTAGGAACAATATTTTCCTTCCTTCTATGTGTACCCACATTAGGAAGGTGGTTCATTACATATGTTAGTTTCTTTAGTAGTACACTACTTTATAACCCTATAAAGGGCTCTTGTTCACATCTCCGATAAACTGAATAAAATATCTTCCATGGGGGCTTAAGGCCCAAAGATACAGAAATACAGTTTCTAACATGGTATCAGAGCCAAGTCACGATTTTGTATTCGTATCTCAAGCATCGAGCATCTGTTTCCAGCTTCTCTGATTGGTGACGTCCTCAATTTGATTGCGTCACTCTGTTCATTAGGCACCGAAACCCTACCCTAGGTCAGCGCTTCATTCTCTCTCTTGTTCACCCCACCAAGTTTCTCCCTCATCGTTGTTCTTCGAAGTCTATGCCACCAATCTTTTTTGTTCTTTCAGTTGTACCAAATTTCGTAGGCTTATCAATTGCTCCATTACCACTTGTCTTTTGGCATTTATCATATAAAAAATCTGAGTCTGAGGAATCCTCAGATGATATCGTTTCCACTTGACCAAATGTTTTAGTTCTCTTCATAATGAACTCAACCCTCAATAGCCAGCGCAAAGCTAGGGTTTCTTGTGCTACCTGGTTAAAATCTTGCCATTTGAAGGGAGTCTCTCTTGGACTCTCTGTTCTGTTTTATGTGGTTCTTGTCAAACTAGCCTTTATCTATAAATTGCACCTTTAAACGTCAATGGTTCAGATTGGGTCCCTTGTTCAGTGGGAAGAGAATTGGCCTCATCTGTTCCCTTTGCTGCTATTGATCTTACATGCCCTTGGGTTTGAGTGCGACTTAAAATTGAGAAATAAATCACTCCGTCTTTATCTACCTTTGGAAACTTTGCAAGACCTCTCACAAGAAGTTGAATCTCACAAGAGTACGTAGGGTTAGTGGTCTATTGTATTACTTTGGTCTTGCACTTATGACCTGTTTTTTTCTCTCTTCTCCTTTTTTGTTCTTGTTTTATGGTTTTGCCCTACTCTGATCTGGGTTGTCTTCTATTAAGCCTTCTTTTCATGGATATTAAACACTCCGAATCTAAGGTCCAACTATGCTTGTTGATCCGCCGCTGATTTCTATTAGCTCTTCCAAGTGCCTCCTATTTGATGATTTATTTTTTTAATTCTGGTTGATAATCAAGTTTTCTGTTACTTGATCATGTTTAATGATTGAGCTTTTTGTTACTTAATCCTATTGGATGATGGAGTTTTCTGTTACTTCATCATGTGATGATCGAGTTTACTCGTTCTTGTCGATTTCTGATGCCTATGTTTAATGATTGAGTTTTTCGTTACTCAATCCTATTGGATGATGAAGTTTTCTTTTACTCGATCATCACAATATGTTTAATGATTGAGTTTTCGTTACTCAATCCTATTGGATGATGGAGTTTCCTTTTACTCCATCATGTGTGATGATTAAGTTTACTAGATCATGTCTATTCCAGATGCCTGTTGATTTACTGTTATGCGAGACTTCTTTGTTCGAGATATCAGTTTCTATGGATAGCTAACTTGCCACTGCTCAAGCTTCTTCTTGCTGAGGCTTGCCTTCAGATGTTCAAACTCAAGTTGCTCTCTCTTAACTCATCTTGAGTTTGAGGAGAAGTGTGGAAATATAAAAATATGCACTCATTTTTTGGAACAATATTTTCTTTCCTTTTATTTGTACCCATATTAGGAATGTGGTTCATTACATATATTAGTTTATTTTGTAGTACACAACTGTATAACCCTATAAATTGGAGCTCTTGTTCACATCTTCAATAAGCTGAATAATGCATCTTCCATGGGGGATTAAGGCCCAAAGATATAAAAATACAGTTTCTAACATAAATAAAAGATTACCATTTACTCAAGATAGGGAGAGAAAATAATCCTATTCAAGAAGTCCTCTGTCTCATTTATTCAATCTTAGAAAAACCCTCCTTCAAAGCTAAAACAATGAACTCACATATATGATAAACATGAGATAAATATCATTGGATTTCATTGGTAAAGATAATCTAGGGGATTAGAGACAATTTTGAGACCATAATTATCCCTTACTTTTCTAATAATAATACTAATAATAAATATAGGGAAATTTATCGAAGTAAATATGAAGATTAACAATTTAGAACTTTACCCTTATCTTTTGATTTAATTTCAAAATACCCATAAATAAACGACCTTGAGTAGGAATAGTTCCAAAAGTGTAAATTATTAAATAGTTCATCTATTTAATAATAAATGAGAAAGCTGTCATATTTTTAGTTTTAAAAAATAATTACATGTAAAACATTAAGGATTAGCTTAATACTTTTTTGGACATGGACCTTATTCATTAGCTTCTATAAGCATGCTTTCCAAGTCCATTATTTGGAATTAGGAAATTTTATGAAGATTTGTATTTGAAAAATAAAAAGGTTAATTGTTTGCTAAATCTATCCATGTATCTATCTATATCTATAATTATAATTATGATTTTAAATTTATTCCTTCATCATAGACTTTTTCTAATGTTGTCAAATTCG